AAAGAACTCTGAGTAGTGCCAAGTAGGATAGAAAATAAAGAATAAAAGTTCCAGAGATTTTGCCAAAATTCTCCACAGATTACTATTAGCCTCATTTATGAGACTGCACAGAGGACTGTGAAATCTCCTTTGAACTCTTATGGCCAGATGGTTTTGCTGTTAGGTCCTAATGACCCACAGCAGTGTGTGTACACTGACGCCCCAGTTACCAGTTGGCTGCAAACATGGGGTGTAGGCAGGAGAATTCATGACCTGTCCTTGCAAAACACAGGCAGTTCCTGCTTGGGCAGAGGGGGAGCCTCTCCTTGCTAATGATGCTGTAAAAAGCTTTTCTGCTCACCTCTCTTAGGGAAGATAATTTCTAAAGCAAGTCATGAGCATTCCGGCTTGGAGGAGTGAGTGACAGGCACAGTGCCCTATGCAATTCTTCTGATGGCCATGAAGCCATCAAAAGGCAAAGAGGCTCTCATGGGCTTTGTAGACCTCCAGTCCCAGCATTGTATCTCAATGCATTCTCAAAGAGTGAGGGAAAGGCTGGACTCAAACCAATTAAAGCTGTAGGGCTGAGCAGTAGTTATGGTGCTGTCATATGGAACTGCTTGGAAGACATGATTTATTTTGGATTACATTGGTTTCAACTGGTATAATATGAACTTCCTGATTTTTCTAGAATATGTAGACAAAAAGTCTAAATATGGTTTTACTCATCTTTTAATTTAGAACTACAAGTGTTTTGGTGACCTATGAAATTATTTTAATGATCTCTGCACAACACTGAGCTGTCAGCACTATAAATGTCATCCCAACTGGATGTTAGTTTCCATCACGGTCATTTAGCCTCAACAGCAGAGCTACCTCCATGTGAATGTCTTCTCTGTGTCAAGCTGTGCAAAAGGTCACAGTTGCCAAGAAGCATCAGTCAAACATCTTCATAATACTCCGTTTAAAGAGAGAGATGCCAACACAACGTCTAGGAGCATCGTGACTGCAGCTTGCCCTTGGAGCTTCAGGCACAGCAGTCGGTGAATGATTTGCATGCAGACCAGTGTTTTTATCTCTGATCATTAAAAATGTGTTCCAGCGTAGCTCATCTTAGCTGACATAGGCTTACCCTTAACTGTCCCTATTATAGCACTAGGAAAAGTCACAGGGTAAGGGGAAGCGCTCCAGAGAAAGGCAAGTGTGACAAATTGAATTTGATACAACTTTTGACTGCTGGTACAAGATGAATATGGGCTTGTCACACGAGGCTGCTCTTTTGTTCTTATAAAGAAGGCAGTGAAGTTGTTTGACTGGTGTCTGTATTTACCAACAGAGAGAGAAGTTATCTGACGGTATCATTTTTGTCCAACAGGGAATGCCTGAGCCAGGTTTAGACTGTAAGGATGCTTCTAAGATACTGACAAAGAGTAAAGTGACAGAATTTGAAAATAAAGTGAGGGGTGAGGTGACAGAGGAGGTGTGGGTAAAGTATGTTGTAGAACAATTGGGCTTTGAACATTCAAATAAATCTTAAAATCAGTGTTAAAACTCCCAAAAGGTTTGTATACGTTGCTCTTTAGGTGGTTAATTTTTTTCTCTTCAGAGTTAGGGATCTTATCACAAAGTTCAAAATTACTGCATTTGTCTTATCCCACATTTACTTAGTAGTTTAAACGTGGCAAAACATTCTGCTGCATTTTGGATTTCTTCTTGAAATATAGACAAGACATGGTCACAGGATTTTTCCAGTACTGTTGCTTGGTCTTTCTGCCTCATACAGATTTGAGAAAGTTACTGAAGATTGCCTTGCACTTGCATTTGATGTAAATTTGATGTAAAAGTTGATTTTGTATGTATGAAATTTCAGCTGATATGGATTCGGTGTAAACTAGCTGTTTTTCCCGACTTGGGATACAAATAAGATGTGGAAGCTGTGTGTTTCACAGAACTCTGCATGCATATCATCACTGAAATAAGTGAGGCAGCCTCTGGCGGTGCAGGAGACCTGCCATTGTATTCTGTGGGCTCCTGGAAGGATATGTAATAGTTCAGAGCCCTCATGTCTCATGTACAACTTCATTTTGCTCCAAAGCACCTCTTTAAAGCTCCTTCTCCTTGGCTTTTTGTGGTTCTAGTCTTTTCCATACATAACCAAGACAGATTCCCTTTCTTCCCAGCTAGTTGACATGCAGTTGCCACAGCCTTTTCAATCAGAGGTGTCTCCTTTGAAGCCCTGAAAAGATCTCTTAACTCAGTGAACACAAAGCTTAGCAAGTAGAGGCGTTTGTATCTGTAGTGTGTGAAGAAGGTTCCAAAGCCATCACATGCACAACAGTTAATGAAATCAAAGAGACTGCTTAGGAAATGTTCCATTCTTCCTGCGCGCCCTGGTTCTGCTGGCTTGGGTTGGCCCCAGTGAGGGTGCATGCGCTGTGGTACCCAGTGCCCATACCCAGTAGCCCTGTGTCCAGGGCTCGTCCAGGGGATGAGCAGTGCCCTGTGTGCCATGATACAGCCATCACAGCCACCGCCCTGGGCTTGGCAGGAGCAGCACGGCTCCCACGCGCGGCAGTGTGCCACTAATCCTGGCGAGGAGCTGACCCAGCTCCTTGTCCTTCAGAACTGTGTTTCTTCCATTTAAGGGAGAAAGAACACGCGCTGTGCTCTGCTGGAAGCCTGGCTGGCAGTGAGCAAACGCTGTCAGGGAGCTCCTGACATGCAGCACTGAGATAGCAGAGGTCTCAAATGACTGGGATTCCTGCAAGCCTTGGTCAGTATCACAGACGGTTTCCAACTGGGCAAAGTACAATATTTTCCCTCTGCTTTTTATGAATGGCCGTATAGTGTGGTGCTTGAGTCAGAGTCCTCCGCAAAAGCCATTCATAAAAATAAAAACAAAACAAAACAAATACACACAAAAACTTTCTAGGTCCAATCTGGAGCCACTGGGTGCCAGAGGCTGGGAAAACACACTGGCAGCTCAAGCCCCAGCTATCACTGAAAGCATTCAAGGGGCTTTCTGGTGGTCTGAAAAGTATGAAGTGCTGTGTGGAAGGGCAGCTGGTAGAATTATGGTGACACATACTAGGCACAAAGCCAGGGCTGGCCTTGTTTCAGACATTGTCTTTCCTCTCATTGAAGTGTCAGGACCTAATTCATGGAAAATTTGGTGAGTTGGCAGCTCTTTCAGAAGATTTCATTGAGCTACAGTGTGTGAGAGTCACATGAATGCGGTGCACACAGCCAAAAATATATGGGGATTTCTGAACAGGAGAAAGCAGTCAGCCGCTAAGAATGTCTGCAGATTTCATAGGGCTTGGGAGTAAACGTACACAGGTGTAATCAGCAGGCAAGGAAAAGAAAACAAAGCAGAAAAACCTTTCAGATTACTGAAGAGCTCCGTGAATTCTGCAATTATGAAGGATTTCTTTGAAACAAATAATTTCTTTGTCCAGGAGTAGCAAATGCCTGTAATCAGTTCAGGGCTTGCAGCCCACCTGGAAAAGGTGTCAGGAAAATGCGTGCCTTGCTAATCACTTCTCCACTGCAAGGGAACTTAATGGAAAAGGAAAAGATCCTCCTCGAAGTCTAAAGAAGACAGACCCAATCATTGCTTTCTTCTTTTTTTTTTTTTTTTTTTGGTTAATTATTTATGTGAAAGCAGAACTTAGCGCCAGAGGCAGAGGTACAAAAATAAAACAGCAATAAGATTCCACTGAATTAGAAAAATGACTGCAAATAAACAAAGCATCTCTTGTTAAAGTGGGATGCTGGTGGTGGGCAGTCTAAATTGAATCAGTTACATTTAATTTACATTTTCATCGATCCTTCCCACTGAAATACTGCTCTGAAAGGCCAGTTACACTAAACTGTTTATTCAGAAATATTCCAGTTATTTTTCCAGTTATTTCCTACTACACTGTCATGAAAATTAGGTTTTTGGCTATCTGGAGGGACAGCATGTTGGCTTCTGCCAACTAAAGTCATGGCTGGGATTAGGAACAGGCAGGAAGGAAGGGCAGGAAGAAAATCATTGGGTGCCATTCATATGCTTTGAAAACAGAAATCCTGGGGGGTGGAGTGGGGGAAAGCTGCTTTGCCCCACTGAAATAAGAAGAGCCCTTTTGTGCTCAGGGTGTCAGGATTTCTTCCCTTATCTGTGATGGTATTGTTCTGTACAGCTCCTTGCACCCACAGGGGTCACACCACCAGAGCCGTGGTGTATTTTAAGTATGTGGATGTCAGCTCCCTAGCTGGTACTCCTCCTCCTCCCTGCGGCTCCCTGCAGCTCCAGGCGAGGAGGTGGGATGAAGGGCCCTGAGTGGTATTCCCAGCTTGTCTGGGACCTTGTTTCCCATTTCCAGGTGGGAGCAGCCAGCTCCTCAGCCCCTGGCTGTGCCACCAGCTCCTGCATGGGTTGGTGGACACAGCCCCGGTATCTCCTGCTCATATGTCCAGCCACCCAGTGATAGGCATCCCAAAACTTTCCCAAGAAGGTTGTGAGGCTCATCACCTCTTCCATTTGGAGCTCCCAAACTAGAGCTTCCTGGGGCCAGAGGCACGTTCACCCTCACTGCTGGCTGCAACAAGGCTGGCTTTGGTCTGCCTTGGGAACAGGTCCCTCACCTCTGTACAAGCAGGTCAGGAAGGAGGGCTTACACATAACTCACTTTACACACTAAAGAGTGTGGAAGAGGGTGCACAGCATAGTATTCATGGAGACAGCAAAATCTGACTATAGAACTAGGCTGTATGAAGTAATGCAGCAGAGTAAATCCAGCCATGCCATAGAAGAGCTGGAAGTCACAACGTGATAAATTAGACCTCACTTTGATTTTGCTTATACAAATTTAACAGAGTAATCAGAGCAAGGTCTTGATAAGTGTAGCACTCTAAGAGCTGGGTGCCTTCATTATTCCAGTTCTGAATGTACATTTTGCCTGTGTTTTATTTCCTATGCTGAATGGAAACTTCAGTGAATTTGCTTCTCATCACGCCTTCTTTTTTTGACTTTTCAGCCTCAACAAGTGGTTCAAAAGAAGCCTGCTCAGGTAAGAAAAGCCGATTTAAAATCCTTGGACTATCTTAAATTGAATACTCTGTCAATGTTTAGACTGGTCTCATTTACTGTAAAGAGTGAAGGGAAATGCATCAATAATATGAAGCAGGGGATAGCTGCTGGCTTCTCGGGCAGAACCACTCACGCAAATCATGCAGTAGCCCTCGGGAAGGAGAGGAGGCAGCAATAGAGCTACAACCAGAGTGCTTGCTAGGACATGTCCTCCTGCAGTTGCCAAGTGCTAATGGCAACACAGCCACATGCATCTAGTGCAAGTCTGACTTGTATCTGTGTGTGCCCTGAACCTGAGTAACTGATGTCTGCTTAAAGGAAGGAGGGACACAGGTGTGAAATCATTCTCTCCGCTGGTCTGAATGAGTCTCTAAATCCTGAGTAAAATAGGCTGAACTTGATAATTAAACTGGATTCATCTTTAAGACTAACACATTTGAAGATATTCTGTTGAATGGTATTGTTCTTTAATATCTTAGGTAAGTTGTAATGAAACCAGTCAAACACACTGGTTTCATGGCTTCTTCCATTTTATTTCGCCAGGACACTCATGTGAAAAACAAGCAAACAGAAAATCAAAATGAAACAAAACTCCACTAACTCTTACGTAACTTTGTTACATATGCTCCAGCAGGGAAGAGGTGTGGGCATGGGAGCAAGTCTGTCCATCCCTACTTGGCAGGCTCCATGGGGCAGAACTGCCGTACCTTGGTGAATATGAATGATTGCTGAGTCAGGAGCAGAATGGGCTATTGCTTTTCTGGAGAGAAGTCTGCTTTCAGAAGGGAATAATACTTTCATTTTTCCACCTTATGGTTTTAATACATTATTGTACAGTGTGCATTATAGTAATGTCTACTGCAATCTGAATTAAGAGCTGTTACATAAGAAACAGAAAACATCCTAGCTGTGATTTGAAGGGGTGAAATGATGTAACTCCCTAAAGTATGTGTAGGAATCAAGTTTCTACAGAAGAAATCAATACGCTCACAGCAGTGGTGAATCAGTGGCACTGGCAACAATACTAATGCCTCCTAATAGCAGAGATAACGTTCAAGATGAGTGTTGCAGTGTCTTCAAGTGAGGTAAGTTTTGCAAGGAGAGGTAATGTCTTTTATTAGGCCAGCTCACAGAAGAAATGCAGCACCAGTCCCTGAGGACTCACCATCTACAGCCTTCTGACTACAACACACAATTCAAAACACACTGAGTTGTTCTAATAAAAGATATTTCCTCTCCCTGGTCTCACTTACATCCTTCAACTGCGAGGGCCGCAGTCATGCTGTTCCTCGGATAGCCTGGTAGTAAATCTGCTGGCAGGCACAGAGCCAGCCCTTTCCTCCATGGCACTGGGGATGCAGGAGGCTCAGACCGTGCTGTGCAAGGGAGGCCAAATCCGGGAGGCAGAGATGGAGGCTGCCTGAGTGGTAATGGAGTGTGAGCCCTGGCACAGAAAGGGAAGGAGTGCCTGGGACCAAGGCTGAGTTGGGGTGCTGGAGGATGAAACGGAGCGCTGGACTCCCATATTCTGATAGAAGAACAAAGAAGTAATGGCAGCTTTAATGATCGAGGAGTTTGAACGGAAACACTGAGATTCCCAGGATGGATCTTCCCATCCTTCCTTTCCCAAAGCAGTGGCTGTGGTTGTCATGCCATGGGTGTTTCAGCCAGCCGGGTGCAGCCGCTGCTGCATCTCCTTGGTCAGACAGCAAGAGGTGGAGCCCTTTGACATCCCCATTAGTAATGGAAACATTTGCATAGAAAACTAGAGGGCATGAAAGAACACATAAAAGGAGTGAGAGGGCTTTTTAGCAATCCCTAGTCATCACAACAGGACTAGTGGAATTAGTCTTTAAATTATTTGTGTGCCATGTCTTCACTCAGAGAACATTTCTTTTCTTTAATCCTTGGCCTGAGGGATTTTCAGTGAAATCTCTGACTCGTCTTTAACCCTTCCTGGTCTAGCTAGGCCCTTATCCCACACTCCTGCTTACACAACACTGCGGTTTTGCTGGCTGTGGGTGCATGACGGGGAAAAAACTTATGGTTGAGAGCAAGCATTCGTGGCAGCATCTTCCTGAGGCTGGGAGAAGGAGGTAAAGCAGTGTAATTCCTGGGACAGCCAGGAGCTTCATGACGCTGGGCTGCACTGCAGTCCTGTAGCTTTTCTCCATTCTCTTTTACACTACCAATTTTCCCTTTAAAGGAGGGAGGTTCAGTCTCAGAATTAACAACACGAACATGAGCTCATGCAGGCTTCCTAATCTGAGCTGTCTAAGGAAATAATGATAAATTATATAAACATGGGGACTACATGGAAGTTCATGGAGGATAATGTAAATCTTACTCCACATACAGAGGAATCTCTTCCTTTTCCATCTGTTTCCTTCAAAATATCCTCCCAGATGGCTTTACCATGTGGCAGTCTGGATTAAGTTAGAAATGTATCCTTTCTTCATCAGTGGGGACTGAAGTGGCTGCGGTCAGGAACCGCTGTGTGACGGTGATCGTGTACCCCAGTCTGCCACGGTAGAAGCAGCAGAAGCTTTATCCCTGAATGCAGCACTTCAAATATTTGGCCTTTTCTAAAAGATTTCTGTGAATGCTAGTTTACATCACTGTTGCTGTCATTACTGCTCCTACTGCATATGCCTTTTGGTTTTGTGTTATTTTTAAAATGTAGGAGCTGCAAAACCGGATCACATTCTCCTTCCATTGATGAGAGTTTCCTTCCCATCACCTTTTCCCAGGTTTTAAGCATTGCACAGGACTCCCTCATGCTCTAAATTTCTTTATAAATATCTGCTGCTAGCTTAGGGCCGTACAGATGCCTTTATAAACTTCTGCAATATTTTCAAACATCCCCAGTGCTACGAAGAGTGACAATCATGCAGACAGCAAATGCAACTGTAAATTCAGCTGGAAAGCTTTAAATAATGTAGTCTGTACACACCTCTGTGATGTTCGCTGACGCATACGCTCACACTTCCGTGGGGAAATGAAGAAAAGATAGTGAGCCTGACTGCATGCCATCAGGAAGTTTAGCACCTTCACATAAATATGTGCCTAAACCTCAAAAACAAGAAACTCTCTTTAAATCCACCATTTCTGAAGAATGGGCAGCCAAACTTAGTACAAATGATGAAGTAATATTACCGAGCTGTGCAAAAAAAACAGCCCCCAAACCGATTTCTCCCTTTCCTTGTTTTTAAGCTATTTGTAGCAGCTGTAGCCTCTGCCATATGGGAGAGTTACACTCTTAAGTAATACAAAGGAAATAGATATTTTTAGGAAAACATCATGAAAGCTATCAAAGTTTTCTGAAAACAGGACATGTTTTATTTTTATCGTCCTGGAGAGGAGAAATCCAGTGAGTGTGGAACAACCCTTTGAACATCTTTTTATAGTCTCTTCAGGAGGTCTGTTTAAATCTGAAATCCATGCAGTTTCTTGAGGTTGTGTCAGAGTCTGACAGGCAGCATATTGCTCCAAGCCCAAGTGTAATTTTCTATTTTGTGCATTAGTTGCTCTTAAAACAAAACAAACAAAAAATTAAATCCTAACGAGAATAAGACCAAAAAATATTGCTTTGTATAGGAAAGCAAATGCACGTTCTTTGTGTTTATTCATCTTACTCAGTTCTTAGTCTTGATAGCAATTAATTTATGCATGTTAATTAGTCATAATACATATGCAGCTCACAACTTCAAGTTATATGTGCTCCACAGCTGACCCATCACATATGCACTCAGTGTAGGACAAACAGTAAATCCTACAAGTGTCAGACAGACTCTGCAGTCGAGGAGCTGCACTGATGATTCACATATTCATGTGCAGCTCAGAAGCATCAGACCTCCGGAGTGCAGCTGAGAACAGGAGACATGATGCTTGTGGAGCAGCTCTGACATGCTGGGAAGCCCTAGTGCCTGCTGTGCCCACGTGCTGCATCACCTCTCTGTGCCCTGCAGAGTATCTGCACTTCCACAAGACTCTCTGTACCTGCTACACGTCACACAGGTTTTTTTTTTCCCCTCAGAGTGAAATGTGATAGGACTCGAAAGGTTCAATCTAGCAAGGACTCAGGGTTGAAAGAAACTGTTAGTGTCACAAAAAGGCCTGCAAATCGCTCACTGCCACACAGGCACATTCAGATCTCTGAGGGAACACATGGCACTGCTCGAGCCCAACTTACGTCCTGCCCACTGGGGAGCAGTGCAGCTTTTCTCATTGTGGCTGTGGCTCTCGGAACACCTTTGCCCTAGAGGATAACCTGGTACCCTGGGTTTTTGTCGCTCTTCCTACTTCATCCAGCAAGTTGTGTTGTGTGTGCTATACTTTTTCTGTGTTTACTGATACAGAGAATTGGGAAGTTGTCAGTTTCCAGAGGGAGAAAACTTTACTTTCTGTATGTATGTGGAATTTTACACTTCCAACATAGGGTGCGTGTGTGTTTTTCACACTACTCCCGAACATCCTCTGAACGATTGAGTCGCCTTTCTTTTACCACTGTCATTTTTAAAGCAAACACTGAATTTTTCCCAAAGATGGCTGTAGGAACCACCTTATATGTTCTGGAAGCCCTCAGCACCATATGCATGCATGCCAACATGTGGGTATTACAACTCAGTGAGGCTGGACTGTACCTCCTCATGCATTCCCATCAGGACCAAGCACTGGGCCCACAGTGGGACCTCCAGATCAGTGCTCTCCTCCCACACCTGACAGGGCACAATGCCTTTTGGATTTTTGCATAAATAACTTCAGGATGAGATAACCTGTTTGCATTGACCCTTTTCCCATATGTGTCCCTGGGAGGTTCATTTTTTCCAAAGCTTCACATTATTATCATCACTTACACTTTTTAAATCAATGTATGTTTAATTTTCATTTTTTTAAGCTTTTGCTTTGGAAAAACCTTCCATATATGGCTTCTGAGTGTTCTTGAAACTTTTTTCTCATTCGAAGAGATTGTTTTAAGAA